GAAACCACGAAGCTCAATCTCATATAGGATTGAACAAAGAACAATCTACCTCGGCAAAATCAGGCTGGTGGCCCGGGTTATGCTGCGACTCAGGGCGAATCTCGATATCGGCCGACTCATCGACAATTTCCTGCATTGTGTTCTGAATGAACTCGTCGAATGAGTCGAGCTGTTGGCGCACCAAACCCTTCTCTTCGAAGTAGGCTGAGATGACGGCCCAGGCGTCCTCCTGCGTGATTTCATCTTCGTCGTCGTCGTTGTACTGCTGGTCGTCGTACTCGGGCTCCTCGTCCATGAATGTGGTTGCGGATCGGAATTCGAAACCCTAGGTCTGGTTCGGTTCTTTGTGCCCGACTGAACGGTGCGTTTGCGAGTGAGCAAAACCCTAGCAGAGCTTTTCACTGTTCAGGTTCAGATGAGCTTCGAAAGTGGTGAGGTTGCGAGGTTTGAAAATAGACAAAAGAGAGAGAACTGTCGTTTTATTAGCACTTGCGGGTATGGATCGTTTTATCTTTTGCCGCCGTTGCTTCCTGTCTTCAGGACGTAGAGGCGGTTCAACGTTCAAGCCAAAGAGAAGAGCAACCAAAACAATAACAACAAAATTGTGAGAATTTGGATTCTATTTTTATTTTTCTGCCAATAAAACTATTTCTATAATGTAACAAGTCTTAATTAATGCAGTGATATTTCATCTTACATGCTTCAAAAAAAAAAAAAGAATTACTTACGCTAACACCTTTTAAAATTTTCAATTTTTTCACAAACTTCCTTAAGGTTTTATAAATTATATAAACATTTCTTGAGGATTTAAATTATTTTCACAAAACTCATTTTCAATTATTATCCATTCAAAGATTGATAATTTTATATAAAAAATTCTTCACATAGGTGTTAAGTGGCGAAACAGTAAAGCCAAGCGGCTATACTATTCTTTAAAAAAAAATTAAAAATCCGAGTATAGCCACACGGCTGTACTATTTTTTGATTTTTTTTTAAATATTAAAACCGACTATAGCCCAGTGGATATACTATTTATTGATATTAATTTGCTAGTTTCAAAATCACCATCTTGCATTTTTGTTACAACAAGTAAATAATCTTAGCCGCTTACATTCATTAATAATTAGTAAAATATGGAACAGGAAAAAATATGAATAAAATATGTACGTGTTTTATTCGGCAAAATTTTGGCACATTACAACTTAAAAGTTCGGCCACTATATTATATTTTAATATAAATAGTTTACATTTTAATATATATTATTTTTATTTAATAATATGTGAGAATTATGTGTATAATACGTGGATTTTGTGTGTCTTATTAAAATTTTTGTAAAAAATATGTGTATTAAACTTGAAAAATATGTACATACCTGTATAATACAAGTATTGTACATTTGCTTTTTAAAAACCGTAAACTTTACCGAGTCTTTAAGACATTTGCAGAACACGGACGTATTATTGAAAAATACGCACGTACATATATTAAACATGAAAGTGCTACAGTCTTTATACGGGTAATAACTCTAGAAAAATAAAAAATCAAAAAGGGATAATAGAGACTCGAGTAATGGCTTAACAGTAATGGATAATGCTCTGAACAACTCTTATTGATAAACGAAAATTAGAGAAAAAAAGGATCTCACTACATATATAAAGAGTATAGTTGTGTGGCTCTTGGGCTTTGGAGAATTTTAACTGTCTTTAAAATATTTAAATATTCACTAAAAAATAATTATTAAAACATAATTATTAATTAAAGTAATTTAAAAAGGCTAAAATATTACTTAATTCCATATATTAAATTAAAGAAGTTGGACAAAAAAACATAAGTAAAGAAACTAATTTTATATTTTCAAAAATTGCTGTTTTTATTTTTATTTTAAACGGTATAGCAGCACAGCTATACTATAAAAAGGACCCACCCGTGCCTACGCCTCCGTGTGGACCAAGTAAGGCAGACCAGCTATACCATTTTTACAAAATTTAGGAAAAACAAGTATAGCCGAACGGCTATACTATTATAAATATATAAAAAGGGCTCACCCATAGCCTAGGCGCCACTTGTCCAACAAGTAAAGCCAATTGGCTGAAAAAACCAAGTATAGCCGATCGGCTATACAATTTCTTTTTATATTTTCAATTTTTTTTAAAAACCTCTCCCGACAAACATTGTCCGGTTATTAATTTGGGAGTTTCACTAAAACACCCAAAATGGGGATTGAAATTATAAAAAAACCCAAGCACTATTTAAACATATAAACACACCCAAAGCCCATCATTACACACACTCAAAACCTATTTATAAACACACCCAAAAAGTTGACTTTGAGGTTGATTTTGGGTGTGTTAGTGCTTGGGTTTTTTTTATAAATACATGTCTAGGATTGGGTTTATTTATAAATTTGTATATTAATTTTTATCAAAAATAGAGCTATACAATTTTTTATATATAAAAAGGACCCGCCATTGCCTATTCGCCACGTGTCAATACGGTAAAGCCAAACGGCTATACAATGTTTTTAAAAATTAGGAAAAAATACTTTTTAAAAAATCAGGAAAAAAGCGTATAGCCGCTCGGCTATACTATAAAAAGGACCCGGCCCCCAAGAGTCGAAACAGTAAAGCCGGACGGCTATACGATTTTTTTAGAAATTGGGAAGAACTAGTATAGCCGCACGGATATACGAGTTTGTTAAAAATCACAAAAAAATAGTATAGCCGTTCGGCTATACTACCACGCGTCGAAACAGTAAAGCCGAACGGCTATATGATTTTTTGGAAAATTAAGAGAAACATTTATAGCCGTCCGGCTATACGATTTTCGAAAAAAACAGGGTACCCGGCCCACCGGCTAGGCGTCATGTGTCAAAAAAGTAAAGCCAATCGGCTGTACTATTTTTATAACCAGAAAGGCCACCTTTTTTAAAAATTATAAACCAAATTAGTTTATTTCATTTAATATTTATAATTAAGTATTATCTTAACTTATTTAATTACTTTAATTGATCATTAAAGTTTAATTATTATTTCTTTAGTACAACTCATACATTTTATTATAGTTTAATTATAATTTAATTGATAAATAATATAAGGCTTTGATATGCTACGATAGTGTTTTATAGCACAATGTATACATTTGATTTTTGGATGTAAACATGTCATGACTCTTAATTGAATCTGTTTTGGAGTTTCCTTATCTTCAAAAAGAAACTAAATGGCATGACATGCACTACAATCATCCTTATAAAAATTCATTCATCATAAATTCAAAATAATGTCCATAGTTTGCGAGTCAATATATCATACAATCAGTATGCATAAATGTAACATGCAATATGAGAAGAATGATCATGTGGCGCGCATGCATCTGTCTATGTGTATGTCTGTGTATACACAAAATTTCCATGGATGTATAACACGGCTAGCTATATTGTATTGTCTCTCTCGAAATCGACCTTCAACTACCCCCATGCCCAGTTATATTATTAGTTGCCAAAATCTGCCTGCAGTGCACAGAAACTGCTTAGAAGCCACTAATTAATGGGAGTCTTAATCTTAAACCACGTGGTTAAATCTGGAAACACCCTTTTGCTCTGTGTAAATGTTTAATTGGCTCGTTATTAAGATCAAAATCTTCATAAATTTGTAGGTAAACAAACCCTTCCTGCTGTAAAGAAATACAAAGAAAACAAGTGCCCCACCCTCTATCTGTCCTTCTAACAGCCTAAACATCTCTTGCTCTATATACCCTTCTAATTTTATTAGCTGAAGCCTGAAACATCGGATTATTTCCTTCCTCATTTGATCTCCATGACTAAGATTAGGAAGATCTTCACCTTTCTGCTAAGGCTGCTAGCTTTGGCTGCAACTCTGTCTGCCACCATAGTTATGGTCACAAGCCATGACTCTGTCAATGTCTTGAACTTAACATTCAAGGCCAAATACAGCAATTCGCCTGCTTTCATGTAAGTTTAATTAAGTTTCTAATCAACCCTTTTCCTCATAATCATGTTCTAATCATTTTATTTTATGATTTTTAAATGTGTTTGCTCATGGCAAAGGTACTTTGTGATTGTGGAAGCAATTGTAAGTGGATACAACCTTATGATTCTGTTTCTTGCTTCGAAGGGTTCGCTTTGGCGCATGGTCATCATTCTAGATGTGGTAAAGAAAAAAAAATTTCTTTCTATTTTTTGCATTTTTATTTTCATGTTTCTATGTTTTTTTTTTCCTATGATGAACTGAAATTGAGGTCCTTTTTTCTGATTTGAACAATTTTGCACAGGTTGTGGCTTTGTTACTTACTTCAAGCATGTCAGCAGCCTTGGCAATAGCTCAAGTGGGCAAGAAAGGGAACACTCATGCTGGCTGGCTGCCCATCTGTGGACAAGTCCACAAGTTCTGCAATCATGTAACAGGAGCTCTTGTTGCTGGCATCATTGCAGCAGCATTATATTTTCTGCTTATTCTCTACACTCTTTACACTGTTCTCAATCCTCTGTTTGTTGTAAAACCTTAATTTTGTTGTTTTCATTTGATCTTTCCCCAGTGTAAAAAAAAAAGAAGTTGAATGTAATATGATCCAGTGTTCAGTACCGGAAGGACTGTATGGATGAATGGAAAAGTCTTTTTCATAATTTTCTTATTCTTTGAGTATTGTTCAAGGGAAACTATAACCAACTGCCACCTCTTATATTTCTCTCATTGACTTGTCCCATTGTCTTTAGTGTCTTTTTGACGTATGTTGGTGGTTATTATTTACAAGCAGTTGTTTAAAAATCCAATTCAAAGCAGATTCCCATCTACTCCAAAGGGTAAAGAGACAAAGATTTACTCCGCACCAGTCCAATCAACTCTGACCATCCAATCAGATAACACTCTAATATCATCCAACGGCCAGGATCAACCTTAAGATATCTGTGATGCACCATAATGACCACAACTTAAATTTCTCCGGATGCCATAGGAACCATCCCCACAACCAAATAGAAGTGGGACTGAGGAACAGTGACACACAAACATCTCTGGAACCGCAAGCTGTCAAAGAAGATGGTTTGTGGAATTCTTAGTTTCAGCTCTGCTTTATCTCCAATCTCCATATCTCACTATAGAAATAGAACAGCTCCCAAGCTCAAGACTGATCTTTCTTCTTCTGTTATACTTGGAATTCGATGCTCAAGTTCTAGCTCAGATGTGCCCCAAACCTTTGGTAAGTTTACCAATTCTGTCTCCTTTTTTTGTTCTTATTTACTTCAATTTCTTATTCAATTCCCACAGAAAGGTGCCTCTGGATGGCTTCAGAATTCAAATTCTTTATTTTGAAAAGATTGATGGGTTGTTCATAGTTTTCTGTCATTTTTCTTTCGTTATCGAAGAAAAATCTGAGAATGATGCTGCTATGACTGGTGGTGCATTTGACTTCACAAGAGCAACAACATCACTTACAGATAATAAGTCAATCGCTTCATCAAAGAAGGTAACTCTTGTCCGGCATGGCCTTAGCTCTTGGAATGAAGAAAGTAGAGTTCAGGTTAGTTGCTTTCTTCTTCTTTAGTTGCTTAATTAATTAATTAACGATGATAAAACGAATTTAAGTTGGTTTTTTTTTCCTTCTCTAGATTACGCATCTGTATTAGGCATATCAAACATGCTGAATTTTTTTTTTCCTTTCATATAGGAAATATTTAGCTGTTCTTGAAGCTTAACCCTGGATGTATGTACAGGGAAGCTCAAACCAATCTGTCCTGACAAAAACTGGAGTGATGCAAGCAGAGAGGTGCAGAGAAGCCATTGCAAATATGCATTTTGATCAGTGTTATTCGAGTCCAATATCTCGGGCCAAGGTTTGAAGTTGAACATCTTGCTGAAGTATGTTTGGACCTTGTTGCATTTAATTTCAAAGCAGATTTTAATTGTGGGTTTCCGAATTCTGATGCAGTCCACTGCTGAAATTATATGGCAAGGGAGAGAGGAGCCGCTCGTTTTCCTCGACTCGCTGAAGGAGGCTCATCTGTTTTTCCTTGAAGGCATGAAAAATGGTCAGTCTGCTCGTGTTTTACTTCCTGGTTTTAATTCGTTCCGAATTCATGCATTCTAGAATCATACTAAATCACGTTCAGAATTTGGAGGCAGAGGATGCCAAGCAGAGATATCCGAAGGAGTATGCAACATGGAGAGAGGACCCTGCTAATTTTTATGTGAATGGAATCTATCCTGTAAGAGAACTATGGGGAACAGCCAGAGAGGCTTGGAAGGAGATCTTGTTAACACCTGTGAGACATGACATCGTTTCTTTGCTATCATGATACAAATTTTGTTTGTTGACGCTAATTTTTGATAATATAAAAGATGTGTAAACAAATATCTTTCTGATGTATCAGGGAGAACATGTTTTAGTAATCACTCACAAATCAATTTTGAGGGCACTGATCTGCACAGCTTTAGGGCTAGGCCCTGAGAGGTATGTTGTCGGCAATGCAGTTTAAATATCAAGAAAAATGCAATGTTGGTATCCTGACAATGCTGTTGACGGTTCAGATTTCGTGCCATTGATGTGAACAACGGTGGAATCTCCGTATTCAATTTCAACAAGAAAGGAGAAGCAATGATTCAATCTTTGAACATGACCGCCCACATGTACAGTGATCATGTCTATCTTTACTGAAACTTTAGTGCGACTTGCTGACTGATGAGGAAATATGAAGACAGCATAAAAAAGGTGTTGGAAAGAAGTTAAAACTAAGAGTTCCTCATAGGACATTGGTATGTATTTTTTCTCAGAGTCGAGGTTTCAAATTCAAATGACAAGCTTGGGGTTGTGAAAGGTCGATGGGTAAAACACGCATGCAGTAAATGCTGCAGTGTAAGCTTCAGGCTTTCTTGTATTAGTAACAGAAGATGTACGTTCTACTTAGAAAACAAACAAGACATACATTTATGCCAAATATTGTTATGGA